AATTTTAAATTTGCCCGGGCAAAATTAAAATTTGACTGGATTTGAATTTTGACCACAACATATACATATATATATATGTGCGCATATCATTAATTGCCGAGCTTGAGGGTGTCGGTGTGTGGGTGTGGTAGAGCCCGTTGGGTCCGGTCCCAGATTAAAAATATTTTTAGCTATTGGGCTAGATCACAAGAAATTTCTTATGCATATAATTGAATGAAAACGAAGTCGATGTTGTTGATGGTGAATTTGTCTATCATAAGAAACAATATAATCACTTTAATACATTCATTCCTTATTTCATTCGAAGCTGCAAACTACTAGCGAGTCGCTAGAAGTCAGAGTCTATTATAAATTAATCTTTAAAAACACTTTATCGGATAGTTGAAAGAATGTTTAAGATGTACTACTTACATAACAAAAAAGGACAGAAGTATGCCGTATCTTCGGAGCGACCACCAGATTCAATTAAAAAATTTGATTAGAAGTTTAAGAGTACTTTTCAAGACTGCTTGCAGACAATCTTCTTAATATTGAACAGCAACCATCACTTGATATTTCGACTGTTCTTGCACCATACAAGATGCATTTTCATGCAGAACAGGAATGGATGTACGGTTGTATCGAAACGTATGGTAAATTGTCATGCAATGAAACAGCCATTTATGCAGGAATCTTAGCTTTAATTAGTGCTATTTCTGGTGATGCCTATTATGTTGATGAATGTAATGGCCAAGAACCTCCTTTGAATTTGTACGTTCACATTATTGGCGAACCAGGTGGGCATTTAGATAAAAAAAACGTGTGATTTCAATTACTTATTTTTCAGCTGATACAAGGTTAACTTTAACTCGAAAGTTGAGAATATGTGTTTATACACATTTCGATTGACTTGTGTCCGTGATTATTTAATATTGATAGATAACAAAAAAATATTTTAATTAAAAAAGTATCACTCTAGTTGTTTGCAAGCTCTTCGATATTTCGAACGTAAGATTGGTTTACTTTTTGTTTATACATATTTGATTAGAATGTTAGTTTGAGTTGAAAATAAAATTTATTTAAATGAAAGCTCAACAGAATATAAGAAAATGCGTAGATATTTCTTGTTAGGAATCATCTAGACACACTGCCAGTTAAAATTTTATAAAAGTTTTTTTTTCAATTAGTTAAATTAATGTTGTACGGTATATCGTGATTTAGTTGATATGATTTTTAAAAAAGTGTCTTCATAAGTGAATAATTATTTTTCATGTGATATTGAATCATTCACAAACAACTGAAAAGTTTACCTATTAAAAATAGCTATTCTATTTTATTTTAGGTTTGTGAATCGTCTGTGTCTCAGTTATAACTAAAGATTCTTCATCGCTAGTTTTCAGATTGGTGATTTGTTCGCTATTACAGACGAACTAGATAGCCATCTAGTTCGCTTATGAGTTTTCAAATCAAATGAGGAGTCAGCAGCACCTGAATCAAAATTTCTTACGCAAGCATATGATGGTATTCACAATGAGTCTGGTGGGACTGGTACAACGAAACATGTAATTGCCGATGGCAAATTAGCTATTTTTGGTGCATCGACTGGTCAAAGATATGCATTTAACATGCGTAATTTTACACAAAATATTGAAAATGATGGTGTACTAATTCGAATGTCATATTTAGTTATGCCATATGGAGGTGCAAAATCCATTTCAAATCGAATACCTATCTCAATGCCAAATGTGCTTCATATTGGTGCTGTGATTTTATTATTGATTAAATCTGTTTATCCCATACAGCTACGATTCGAGAAATTGCAATCAGATTTTGATAATGAACCACCACGTACGTTTTTTCTTGAAAAATCGAACGAAAACCTACAAAAAGTTTCTTATAAACAACAGAATTGAGAAATTTCTCACTTTAGCAGTTTGACTGGAGCACTATCTTTCATCTTAGTATTTTACGATTTCCAAAGAGAATAATAAAAGATAACACCGAAAACATGATTAATATTTATATTTTCCGGTTGAAGAACGTTGAAATCGATAAAAGAGGTATTCTTTTTATATCTCAGTTAAAGGGTTAGTCTACTTTGAGAATGAATCTTCAAACATGAAGAGTACATACAATTGCATGATACATATAATCATTGAAACTTGTATTCGACTTTTGAAAATTTTGATAGTTTAATACTTGAAAACGAAATAGTCCGTCATTCAACAACAATGTCAACGTCCCCACTTCCTTTATTTATGTGTCGCGGCGTGGGGGCGCACAGCGCCCTCCACAGAGCCGCGACCCATGCCCATCCCTGTGTACACAGCCAATTCTCTGTTGTCATTGTATTATTCAAAGATCTTTAATTGAGTGACTAAACATTCAAATACTTTAAAGAAACTCGATCAACGGAATCTAAATTTCAACTATTACACTAATAAAAAATATTGAGTATTAGCTTTTCAATGTGAAAAAAAATATACAGTCAGAGTCATAACTAGAGTGCTCCTGGAAATTTTACCTTATATCATGATTATTAATGATATTCATGTTATTGTTGTTTCTTTTAAATAGAAGTATTGTTGTTTTATCAACGAGAGCGAAGAAGTTTTGTTGATGGTGATGTATTGCCAACTTTTTACGAACTCGTACCATCCGAAAAGACTCGAACCAAGCGGTGAAATATCGATATTGAATGAGATGGTTCAACTCTTAGCGCAAATGCACTTCTGAATAAACTAATCAAAGAAGATATTGCTAAATCAGAAGATGTTAACCGACCACTTCATGTTAGAGCTTTATATGTAAAAATGGCTCAGACACTATCACATATAATTGCAAATACACATTTATATTTAACTGCAATTTATTTGTTAACCAGTAATGACTTTGATTTATTCAATTACGTTTCCTTTCGTGAAGGTAGCGGAACAGCAAACTCTATTGAATGATTATCCGCGAAGTCGTTGGAAACTGCAAAACAAGTTGTAGATGATTATATGGCATCACGTTTCAAAAGTGAATCAGTTACTGTTTCATGGAAATCAAATAATTCAAGGCAAATACATAATTGATGCAACTAAAGAAGCTGTATTAGCTGGCTATAGTTTGGGTGTGGGTGTGGGATATGGATGTGGATGCGTCTCCTTTTCACCCACTTCTACACCCACACCCACACCCACAACCACACTCTCAGGTTTCAAGGAGACTAGCTTATAGAAAAAAATCAGAAGTTTGGGAAAAACTCTTCGAAATATAGATATCTCAAGCATACAGCTTCTATAGAAAATCGTCTATATTTTGAGAGATTCATATCTCGAAGGGGGTTTGTCCAAAACTTCTGATTTTTTTCTGTAAGCTAGTCTCATTGAAACTTTCATGCATACAAAATTTCAGGTTAAAATTCGAGAATATGATATTTCTGGGAAAGCCGGTCCTGTAGAGAAAATTCACTGAAAAATCGAATATCTCCCTCTAGACAAGCCACGGGGAGGTAATGTTTTAACCTTGCTAGTTTGTCAGTGAGAGCTTTCTTTTGATGTAAAAATATCTAGTCTTTTCAACTTACAGTACAAACACCTCGATTGTTAGTGAAATAATGATTAGTGATCTGACGTGCAACTTTAAGTAGTCTGTATATTAATGTACAATTAGATTCAGAAGGTATCTGATGAGTCCCTCAAGCAAAGATAAAATACCGTATTTCGACTTTGAATCTATCTAATATTGAGTATTTAGCACACCTAAACGAGAGTTTTACCAGAAACGACAATCACTTCACAATTGACTATGGTAATTGCTTTGATTTTGCATATGAATTTTGTGCGTGTCCCTGAATAGTTCAGAGTAAAGATAACCTATCATTGACCAAAAAATGAAATTGAGCTGGTCGATTCTTCCGAGTGAAAAAATTGTATTGTTTACTCATCATTGAGAACTTCCGACATCAACATGTCATGCATTGATGCATACAAATATTTTCTAATAAAACCAACATTAAATGCAAAACAAAAACATAAGAATAGACGAATCGGTAGAAACATTACACGTGATGATGAGTGCCTTCATGAAAACGATATCTATCTTATGAAAATGTCATGCTTCATTGAGTTATGTAAGCATTGGTACGTTGGAAAAAACCAAGTAACTTCGTCAATGATAAAAGAATCCGACTCAAAATCGACTATAAATATGAGAAAAATCGTACACTCAAATGTTACCCAGGAAGTAAGTATATTTGATTGTCTATGTTATTTGAATAACGATACCAATAAAATTGAAAATCAAGACTACCTATGAACAGAAAGTAAACAACATTCTCAGTATGTCGATCCAGTCAGATATTCAAAAATTTGAACGCTACAACAACAACAATTCGTACGTTTATGCCAAAGAACGTTATAATGAACGTGGACTAAACTGTTTAAATGCATTTAAACTATCGCAGGGTTAAAACGCCAAATTTGAACATTGTTTACTGTAGATTTCATTTATATCAAAAACGTTATAATGCATCGCCATGAAAAACAGATAAAAAGAATCAACAAGAACCGATTCTTGGAACGAAGAAAAGCACATTATTATTTTGAAGAACAGGAAATTCATCTTCACCTCTGATCAACCTTCACTCGCAGTGAAGCTTTTCTACTCGTTCAATGCGTTCTAACATAACTGATATGTTATCCTGAATTTCAGAAATGTATCTTCTAACCAGCATTAACTTGCGTTTCATTGCAATACAAACAACTTACTGCTAGATAAATGCTACTGTGGATGAAGATGCGAGTATGACGGTGTGAATGTCGATCTACACTTCCCCCACACTCTCAAGAAAGTG